TGCAGCAGGCTTCGTAAGGGGCTCTATTTGTGTCCTACATAAATAAATAACTTGGAATGGCATTCTGAATTTGATTTTCATAGTAAAAAAATATATATACTGTACCAATGCAGCAATCCCAGTTAGCAAGCACCTGCCGCTTAGAAAAGCGAGGCAGTCACACAGACGGCTGAGAACATGGGATGAAAGTGCTTTCCCGGCGGCAATCACACCTGATAAGCACATTGTGTGGATTAGAGAGTTTTCAGACAAGTAGAGGAAAACCATTTCCTACCCCCAGTTTCAGACACCCTAAGTATATCATCTAATGAAAACAAGATTTCTCCGAGGAATACAGAATGTATTTGGTATTTCCACCAAATAATTATTCTGCCACAATCTGCAAGAAACGGGGACATAAACGGACCTGATTGCATTCTTCTTATTTCCTGATAAAACTCTTCCATTAGGGTCTCCATGTTTCACAAGACAGTTGTGATGTGGGTGAATATGGAATGCTAAACTTGGGTGACTGTACTAATTAGGTTAAAAGGCCTAAAAATGGTAGGTGATGCAAACATCTATATCACATATGGGACCGAATATTATTATCAATGGATACATAATTCAGCATGTGTGTGTTATATTTTTAAATTTAACATCACAAGCCCAAACTGAAGTCTTGTTTTCACATACTACAGAGACTTTTCATCCTGGGGCTTTTACTAAAGTCAGGGAGAAACAGAGACTCCAGTCAATTCTAGATTAAGTCTTTACATTTTGAAAGTACACCTCATCGAATTCATGACTATGCCTTTCAGGAAACTGGGTGAGGAGCAGAACAAAGTACGTAGCAAAATTGGTAAAATATAGAAAAGAAAACTCAACTCTGCCACTGAGTGAGAGAGGCTGGCACTGCAGGTCGATTTCTAAAATGCCTGGGACTAAAATAGGTTTCATGCTTACTTTGTGTGTCAACCTGTCTGGACCATGGGGCACCCAGATATTAAATCAAAATTGTCCTGGAAATATCTGTGAGGCAATTTTTATCTTTTTTTGGGGGGTGCTCAGGGCTTAATCCTGGCTCTGAGCTCAGGGATGACTGTGGTGGGACTCGGGTGACCATATGTGTTGCTGGAGACAGCTTGGGTGGGCCACGTGCAAGGGAAGCACCCTACCTGCTCTAGCCCCAAATGGGGGCTTTTTAAAAATAAATTTAATATGATGTGGGCTGATAGAATAAAGCAGATCACCTTGCTTTATATGGGTGGGCTTCTATTCATCAATTGAGGGCCTGAACAGAACAAAAGGCCAGTCTTCCCTCTCCCAAATAAAAGGAAATTCTGCCTACCTGCACACAAGATAAAATATTATCTGTTTCTGTGTCTATAGAAATGCTGGTCTTGGGACTGAAACTATACCATCAGTTTTCCTTGGTCTCAAAGCATAACAGATTGGAACTCTGCTGTTGGCTCAACGAGGTAATGAGTGGTAGATGACGGGGCTTCTCTATCTCCAAAATCATGTGAGTCAATTTTTATAGTAAATATTTTCTATGCGTGTTAATGGGTCTATCTCTACACAAACTATACAGACTAAGTTCTGCTTCTCTGGAGAAGTCTAAAACACAACTATAAGGAAATAAACCCGAAAAACCTCTTCCTTGCTTTGATACCAAAGAAGTGAAGCAGGAGCAGCCCTTTCACAACCAACAGACCTCTTGTATGAGCAGAAAACTACTGACACTAAGAGAATGCAACTAAAATATAAAAATACAATGTGACTGAAACATTTCTACTTGGTACAAGACTTGGAAAAATGACCGAAATGAAGAAAGCAAATAGGTATGAGGAAATATGCCGAGGGAGGAAAGACCAAATGAATGAGAAGAACTGCTTACGGATTAGTATAGGTGTGAGGTGTGTGTGTATGTGTGTGTGTGTGTGTGTGTGTGTGTGTGTGTGAAGCAAGTTAGTATTTACTGAAATTTATTTAGAAAAATGTGAGAGGAAAGAGAAGTATATGTTTGGGAGAGAACACAGGCTTTATCAGAGTGGAATTTGTAAGCAAAGAAACAGAGAGACAAGCAAATGTGATACGTGTTCAAAGAAAAACACAAGTTTGAAGAGAAAGCCAGTGTGCTGTTTTCCCTGAAGAAATGGCTCTTCGCACGAATTCGGACAGATGCTTTGTCTTCAACCCATGCTGACCTATGCCACTGCTCAGAATGTGGATCTTCTTCCCTCTACAAGTTCTACACACATCGTTGCTGAAATTTTAAATCCTTGCGAAATGTGCTAAGTAATAGATAACGAAGCTTTAAAGAATGCTTTTTTACAATTTTATCTAAATGCCATGATGTTCTCAAAGAATCCTACAAATTTTACAAACTCATGAATACTTCAATACCATTTTGTCTAGGTTCACAGAGAGTAGGAGTAGATGGAAAGACATGTGGAATTGAAGAACTTTCAGCATAATATGCTTTCATTCATGGACAAATAAAAGACATTCCAGGAAAGCTTAAACCCAGCTGTGCAAGTGTGTGTTTAGACTTGTGCAGTGAAAGGGAATTTAGGATTCATTAATACTATGGATAAAGACTTAATTATTTGCTCAGGTTTTGAGATTAATGCTTATAAGTTTTTTATCCCCTGCTCACCAAAGTTTTCTCTCTTTTACCAGCTTAATATTCAGAGTTTCCTTATAAGAAGTTTTAATTCTGTAAATAGAATGTATGTAGTCTGAGCAGGCCTGGCGTAACCACAATGGAGGGCTGAGCTATAGTCTACTACATGTGCCTGTGTCTTCTTGCTCTGCATGTCTCTGTTCTCTGGCTTTAAGTGCCACTCCTTTTTGGGATAAGAATTGAGGCTCCGAACCAGACTCCGGAAAGGATACTCTTTCCACCACATATCTGCTCTGTATGACCTCAGAAAAATGAATGACCTCTATGTGCCTTCTTAATCTCAGCAGAAAAATGTGAAAAATATTGAGGTCAGAAGAATGAAATGCATGTCAAGATCAGAGAGCAGTGCAGGCATGTGGTTCCACCTGTTAAGTCAGGGTCACCCTTATTCCTTATTAACTTTGTGATATCTCCCATTTGTCTTAGACCCAACTGGGAAAGAGCTGTATCTGGTTCATCTATAACTTAGCAGACAAGACAGAAAGTACCCGCTAACCCTCCTCATCGCCAACTAAGCAGGAATCCCACCTTTGCTCCATCCTCCTTACCAACACCCAGGGTGATGGTTGATGTAGGTACTCAGAGACTGGACTGTAGGCTTGAAGGCATGACCTATTTTAATAAAGAAAGTACGTTTCCTAGAATTGTTGGTTATGGAGCCAGGGAGATGGCTTTAAGTGTGAGTGTGCATGCTTAGCACATGAGAAACCTGGATTGATCCATCACATCGCATGATCCTCTGAACACAACTACAAGTAACCTCCAAGCACAGAACTGTAAATAGACTCTAAAATCTGAGCTGAATGTGGCTCCAAAACAAAACAAACAAAAAAAAGTTGTGATTTATGTAGTGATGCAAAAATAAAGCTCCAGTTACAACTGAACAAAAAATATAACTAGGCTGGAGCGATAGCACAGCGGGCAGGGCGTTCGCCTTACAAGCGGCCAACATGGCCGACCCGAGTTCGATTCCTCCGCCCCTCTCGGAGAGCCCGGCAAGCTACCGAGAGTATTCGATATGCCAGACACAGTAACAACAAAGTCTCCAATGGAGACGTTACTGGGCCCGCTCGAGCAAATCGACGATCAACGGGAGGGCCTTTACCTTTTACCTTTTACCCTTTTAGTATATGACCATGTCCTGGTATTTTAAGCCTGTCTAAATTCATGATATTTATGATCATTTTATTTGGGGTGGGGGGGACATCCAGCAATGTTATTCCTTGCTCTGCAATCAGAAATTACTTCTGGCAGTGCTCAGGGGACCATGTGTGATGCTGGGGATCAAGTCTGGGTCAGTTCAGGCCAGAAAAACATTCTACCCAATGTACCATCATCTGGCCCTAAGATCTTTAAGAACTTTCAAATATCATTTGTTTATATACTTGTCCTTCTTAAAGGCATACAGAAGAAGTAAGAATAGCAGAGCTGACTGAATCTATGGTTCTTCTACTGCAGGGCACTAAAATTTTAGAACTATGTATATACAATTAAGTAACACTTTATCAAATGCACCAAATGCATATTGTGTACTGTTAAAAAGTCACTAAGAAATGGTTTTCCAAGTACAAATAAAGGCAAAGCACCAACAGATCGGACCAATGCAGAAGCTACTACATTATTGAGGCCTGGTTCCCCAGATGGATCCATCCCTAAAAAAGAACTGATACGAAGATCAAACTCAAGACAAACTTTGCTGCCAGTTAGATGATTTGACCAGTTCCAAAAACCTTCTGTGGAAAATACTCTTCATGTGAAACTTCCCATCAAAAAGCAAGATTTGTGGAGTTCTTCCCCTTAAGCTCCCAGGCGTTCACTGAGGAAAATCGAGTCAGGAAAGAGTGAGCAGACAGTGACAGGAACACCCATACCTCTTCCAATCCAGTTCTTACCACAGTCTCTTTCCTCTGTGAATTTTGCTACTCCCATCTGAAATCTCCACAAACTTCAAGTCACATATAGCACTGTGATATGTGTGATGCCACTCATTAAGGTCAGATTAATAAAAGCCCGGTCTTTGGTTAAGTAAGAAGTTAAAGTAATAAAGGAACTCAAATATGCCCACGCTGTAACCGAAAAGGAAACGTGAAAAGACATTTCATTTCCTGACCCTGTGCACTGTCTCCTTCAATGAAGACAATCTGGAAAGAGGAAACTAAGCTCAATTGGGCTTGATGTAGTCAGAAGCACAAGGTGAGGCCTAGAAAAAACTGGTCCTCGCAGTGGGAAAGGAGCAAGGCACAGGTTACTCTCCAAACCAATAGATTCCCGAGGGTGCAACAGGCAGGTGATACAAAAAGTAGAATGGGGAGCAGGAGTTCCAGATACGTACCACGATATCCTCAGGGAACGTGTCTCTGCTGAAGGAGCCGTCGTCAAACACAACCTCATAGAAGGTCTGTGAGGTCACAGCGATCACTCTGCAGCTGTAATAGCGAGTGTTCCGGTGCTTGGTGATGACTGTCTGTCCAATGCAGATGCCCTTCTCACCAGGCTTGGACTTCTAAAGAAGGAACAGAGGAGGAGGAGAGGAAGGAAAAACAGGAGCAGGAAGAGGAAATGACAGAAAGTGAAGGGAATATTGAATAGAAAACAATCACTACTTTGCTCAGGATAAATTATCTTCTTTAAAAAAAGCTTTTGATTAGAGAATAGTCTTAAATTTTCTGTGAAAAGTTGCAGGAATGTACATATTACAGAAAACACTCATCTACTCTTTTCCCCTTTACCTAGATTCACTTGCTATCTATTGCTGTTCCTTATTTTCACATAAGGTGTTTATTTTATATGTGCATATAAAATTAAGTATATGTGTATGTAAATATTAACACAAAAAAGGTCATTTGAGAATTACCTATATCATACTCCTAAATATTACAATGTTTTTTTCTAAGCATCGGAATTTCCCTTTAAGTAACCACATTTACAGTTATGAACAAGTTAATGTAATACATATAATACTTAAATCTACAAAGCACATTCAATTTTGTCATTTATGACAAACTAGTAATAATAATAACCAAACAATGACATTTATGGAAATCTTCTCTATAATTCCTGCTCTTAAGTACAGGGCTCAGCTTAGAATCAGGCACTGCATTTAGTTTCCACTTCTCTTATGCCTCCTTTTATTTTATTTTTAAATTCTTTGATGTTCAGACCGTTTTTCCAGCTCTGTGCCCAGATAGCACTCCTGGTGGGGATTGAGGGACCAAATGCTGTGCTGGGTACCAAACCTAGATTGGCCATGTGCAAGGCAAACGCCTACCCTCCTTTTAATTAGCAACACTTTCAAACATTCATTGTGTTCACTGTGGTGATACTTTGAAGGATATAATTCCTCAGCCCCCTACTTTTTAAGAGAACATTTGTCTAGGGTTTTCTCATGAGCAGATTCAGTTTATACACTCCTAGCCAGACAGCACACAAGTGATGTCATTTTCTCGGGATATCTGGAGGCACTTGATCAGTGTTTCCCAAAGTGGCAGGATTTGGGGAATGATAATATGGGGTCACACCGGGAGAAATGGAACAATGGGGGACATGCATAGTATTAGCCGTTAATCTCAGGTGAAATTGGGGGTGGGTGGTGCTGCTCTCTCTTTGCTTAAAGAAGGTATATTTCCAGGAGAGTTCTTTGAATACTTTTTCTTTGGGGACTTCAGCACATAAAGATCATTCATTTTTCTGTGTGGCATTGATTTTCAACCCTGTTCAGTGTGGTCTAACCTACTTTATAATTAAGTTTCCAACTATTGTGGTGTTGCTGTCTATCTCTTCCTTCAGGTCTGTTAGTTGTTTTAAATTGTTTCATGATTCATCAAACTAATTAATTTTTAAAAACTTAATTAATTTTTACAACTAATTAGCAATGGGTAGAGGAAACATAGTTTTTTTTTAAAAAAAAGGTCATTTTGTTTTTCTTCTGTTCCCACATATTTCTACTTACTGATAAGTCTTGTTTGACCCAGTCTCTGTGAAGGGGGTGATGAGTTGATTTTTCCCGCTCCTCACATTCATTACATGATAACTGGGATTTGTTAAGCAAGTGTATGCAACCGTCCATCCATTATTAGTATTTAGTTATAAGGGGCAGGGGTGGTCATTTCTCAATGATTTAGGGATATATACAAAATGAAGAACTCACATTCCTAGACATTGATGTACCTAATGACAGAGCATTACTACCTTATCACCTCTGGTTATATCATTAAACTAAAACTCAATAAGGAAACACTGGTTTTGAAGGAAGAAATATAATCAACGGACTTAGCAGACATATGTAAGCTTCTTCACCCCCCCCCAAAAGTCGAGTACACATTATTCTCCAGTGAACAGGGGACATTCTCTAAGACAGAGCACATTTTAGGTCACAAAACATATCTCCACCATATCAAGAGATGATAGAAACTACATCCACTAACCTCTTAGACCATGTTGCATTAAAAATGGAAGTTAACCACAAATAGGAAATCAGGAAAAAAACTCAAACACTTGTAAATTAAAAAATTCTCTACTGAGTAATTAATGGGTCAAGAAGAAATGAAGATATTCTTAGAAACAAATGAGAGTGAAGATCTAAGCAACCAGAACATATGGGATACAGAGAAAGCGGTGTTATGAGGAAAAAAATCATACCAATGCTATGTCACATATGTTCTGGTTGTTTGAATCTTAGAAAGCAAGAAAGTACCTCATTATATTGAGGAAAACTTAGGTAGAACGCCTCACAGCATTGAATCTAGAAGCAGCTTCAACGATTTAGTGCCATGAGCCAAGCTAATAGGAACAAGGATAAATAAACGTGACCATGTCAAACTAAGAAGCTTCTGCAGGCAAAAGAAATGATGATCAGAATAAAAATATACCTGAGGGACGGGGAGAGAATATTTGCCCATCAGTCATCTGATAAAGGTTTATAGCCAAGATATATAAGGCACTGGTAGAATTTTTACAAGGAAAAAATCCTATCAAAGAGTGGGGGGAAGAGATGAACACAAATTTTCTCAAAGATATACAGATGGTCAAAAGGTACTTGAAAATAAGCACCATATCACTTATCATCAAGGAAAATGAAGATCAAAACAAAAATGAGATATCATATCATACCAGTGAGACTAGCACACATCACAAAGAATAAAACATCTAGTGTTGGTGTGGATGTGGGGAAAGGCATATCCTCATGCACTGCTGTAGGGAATGTTGAATGGCACAATCTTTCGGGAAAACAATATGGAGCGTCCCAAAAAAAAATTAGGAATTGAGCCTCCACATGGCTCAGCAATTCCACATCTTGGCATCTACCAAATACCCAAAAGACTTTTGCATTCCAATGTTCATTAGAGCAGCAGTCACAATAGTTAAAATATGAAAAGAACCCAAGTGTCAAAGAAACAGGTGACTAAATAAAGAAACTATGATTCAGGGGACTAGAGAGATAAGTCTAGTGGATAGGACACTTGCCTTGTATGCAGCCAATCCAAGTTCAATCCCTCACACTCCATATGGTTTCCTAAGCCCTACCAGGAGTGATCCCTGAGTTCAGAGTCAGGGGTAAACACTGAGTACACTTTGGGTGTGGCCCCAAAACAAAATAACACCCCTTCCCCAAATAAGAAAATAAAGAAACTATAGCACATATACACAATGGAATACTATTTGGTTATTTAAAAAACAGATGAAATCATGCAATTTCTGCTATATGGATGGATCTGGGAAGTATTGGGCTGAGTGAAGTTAGAAGGAGGACCGACACAGAATGGTCTGTCTCATAAGTGGGATATAAGGAAACAATAGGAGAATAGCAAATGCCCAGAGGCAACAGAAATAACAAATGCCCAGAGGTAACAGAAACTAAAATCTGGGTTTCAGTGAGACACTTACCACAAGTGAAGGATAGGAATAATGACACTGGGACAATGGTAGAGGGATGTAGACACTGTGGTGGAGAGTGTAGTGCTAGAATATCTTACACATGAAACTCTAATGTCAACAGCAATGTAAATCCTGGTATCTAAAATATTTTTTTTAAACCAAGCATGGTTAGAGTATTAAGTGCTGCATTTTCCTATGCTATCACCTCCCATGTGCATGCTACTAAAATGGAAATTCATCCTCTAAGAAGACAATGTGTTTGGAATTTTCATTCTGAGCCCTACCTTACTAACTGCAATCTTGAGACTGATACTTAACCTTTATCAACCTCAGTTTGGTCATCTGCTGAAGGAATAATATTTGTGTTAATAGTTATCTGTATGATTAGAATAAAGCACATAAAATACTCAAACCCAAGAGGAAGGTGAGCAAATACCAACTAGCTTTGGAAACAGAACACCTGAGACCCTAACCATGAGTTTATAAACCTCCCTGTTACTGTACCTCTATTACTGGTACGTATAAATGAGCATGATTTCATCTGACATCACCTGATTTCACATGGCAAGACTAAATCTAGCCCCAAACCATCACATTCCTGGCTTCTTAACCTGATCCATGTCTTACTCTCTTATCAATCACACTATAGTTTATGATCCTTACAGAAACCCTAATGCGTTCTCTTCTCTATACTGCCAAGGCTCACCCAAAGCCTTTGGTTATACCCCTCCCAAAGTTCTGCTTAAATGTCACTCACTGACTATCCCTCCTGCATCAGAACCATTCACAAGCCAGTACCAGGACTAATCTTTCTGTCCATGGCATCGAGTACAGTGTGTTTACCACTGTTACTACCCGATGAACAATGAATGAATGAATGAATGACAATACAAATGGACTGTGAAGACAGTGCAGACACATTTTCAAAATGGAAGGAAACTGACTATTCCATCACTGTCTACAAAAGGGCAAAGAAAAAGAGAGTTTTAAGAAGATGTTCTTTACCTTGGGATAAGTAAGCACGTATATATGTGTGTACAGAGAGGGGAATGAAGGAGGTTTATGAAGATATTCACTGGGTCTAGAAGTAATCAGTCAAGGGAAAGGTGATATAAACTTGATAAGGAAAAAGGTTAACTTTGGACCATAGCCATTTTCTTCCTGCTTAGGACATGAAATTCATGCAGATAAATTTAGCTGACTGGAAAAATGGCCAACACACAAATTAAATACACAGCCTTCGTCTAAGTAAAAATTTCCATAAGCTTCAACCATGACCATTTCATTGGCAAGTACTAAGGACTACAGATTCTTTTTATAATACTATTTTGATAGGATTTTTGATTTATTTTTGCAGGGAAAATTTATTGACAAGCATAGCCCATAACTGATTATACATCCGCAAAAATATTTCCTGTCAGAAAAGTCTAAAATATATTGATGTTAAGAATGTCATTTCTGATCAGAGAAGACAGATGGAAGGTAAGGGGCTCCGTCAGATTAAAGAAATGGCTGTGGTATTTCTGAAGATTAGTGTGTAGGCTAAGCTTGTGGAGATCACATTTTCTTCACATATATACACTAAGCAGAAATTAAAAAACAGTGATTCAATACTACACTAAATTAAAC